TCATATGCCTCGAGCATCCATTGTCGAAGTACCAAGTCTTTCCTTCATCCCAACAAGTCATGGATAGAGTAACATTGCACACATTTGTCAACTTCTTGGGCCTCCATTCAAGTCTGTTATTTATCCTCTTTTTCATCTTCTCCGAAGGCCAAGAAATCTTCTTTCCTCTTAATAAATCATGAATGACTCGTTCACACCGATCAACCTCATGTCCAATGATTCCACAGTATATGCAGTTCACAGGCTGCCTGAACATCTTCTCAACTACCTTTCTGCATTATGTTTCTTTGTCTTTGCCTGTTGGGAATCTGTTGCGGTGTTGTATTGATTGATTCTTCCAGTAAGTCACCTTTCACAAAAACGGTTTGGTTTCTTCCAGTACCATGTTTGTATCCAAGCCCATGACGATCACCGAATGGTTTTCCGATGGAAAGAACCTCATTGAGCTTCTCTTTTCCTTTTCTCATGCGGGCATTTTCTTCAAGAATTTTGAAATTTGTTGATTCCAGATCAACTATCTTTGCAAGAGCATTCTTGAGAAGTTGATTTAGCTTCGAATTTTCATCTGCAAATTCATCATTTTCTTTGTGCAAATTATGATTTTCTTCAGTGAATTGCACATATTCAGTTCATCAACACGATCCTTCAGCCTTTCATTAATAGAGATCAGTACTTTCTGCCCTTTCATCATTTCTTTGTATTTCTCAACAATTTCGTTTGCAGTCCATCTCTGTGAGAGCATCAAAATCAAAGTTGGATCCAATCTCTTCATTACCATCAAAAGTTTGTGACACGGATTGATCATCATAATCTTCTTCATCATTGAGAGTCACTTCCATAGCTTAATTTCTTTCCTCAAAACCATAGGGCATTCGGATTTCAGGTGTCCAAAGCCATTACATCCATAGCATGTCACACTGTTTGAGGCGTTCAGATTTTGACAGACTTGAAACTTTCTTTTCCGCTCAGGCTTGAAGGCAACAAGTTTTTCTCTTAATATTCTGCTTCTGCTCATTTTGAGGCGGTCATCTGTTGGTCGTTCAAATCTTCAGCTGATTACTAATCTGCCCGGTTTGCTGCTTCAGTTTCCTTGTCCTCTATTGTTGTAATATTTTTAAAATTTGATCTGAAAGAAATGAAATATCATCCTCATCCACTTCATCAGCATCAATATCCTCAGCAGTAAAAGCAACTCTTTTGTATGGCTTCAACTCCAAATGGTTAAGCTCATAGTTTTGGAGAATTCCAATCAAAGCATCAAGAGACATTGTTTTGATTTTCTCCATTTCCTCGAGAGTAGCTACCTTTGGTGCAAACCTCTTTGTGATTGTCCTTAACATCTTATTGACGAGCTTTCTTTCTTCATAAACAAAATCGAGCATGCGTGCTTGGTTGATGATGTCTTTGAATCGATTGCTGAAGTTAAAGATAGTCTCATCTTCCTTCATCTTCAGGCTATCGAACTGACTTTCCACCATTTGCGACTTTGTGGCTCGCAGGTTATCAGACCCTTCAAAAGTCATCAACAAAGCATCCCAAGCAACTTTCGCAGTTGAAAAGAAATTCATCCACTCCATTGAAAATGGCATTCAAAGCTTTGGATTTGACATTGCTCATCTCTTTTTCTTCAGCCGTGTATTGAGTTTTCAACTTTGGAACAAGCTGAGCCAGAGTGTCTCTACCAAAAATTTCAATAGCCTTGGAAAGCTTCAAGGGTGGTGTCCATCCATACTCGACTGAATCCCAAGCTTCATCATTGATGGAATAACTGAACACCTTCATTTTCACTTTCTAGTAGCGGTAGTTTGATCTGTCCAGCAGTGGCGGTCTCGACATCGAGCTTCCGTTCTTCGACATCTTTGAGTGGATCTCTCTTTGTTAATCTTTTGAAGAGTTGGCTCTGATACCAATTGACCGTCCCACTAGATGTAATTCTACACCTTAAACTCCAATTCTGATCACTCTTGAATGATGCAACGGAATGGAATGCAAACTCAAAAGTTTTGCTGTCTTCAGAGTGATATTGTCTGCTTGAGATTCGAACAACAAACAAGCAGCAAAAAGTGCAGTGCAGAGTGAATCGCAACAAAAAGCACACCAGCGTTTGTTGACCCAGTTCGGCCCTCAACCGGCCTACGTCTTGGGGTACCAACCGAGGGCAATTCCACTATGAGTAAGGCAAGAACAAGATACAAAAGCTCCTCACACACACTCCAAAAATCAACAGCCACAAAGCCAACTTAAATGTATTGGTTTCTGTACCACATACAAGTGCATCTTCCTTCGCAAAGGCAAGCATGCAAGGCCTCGACCTCCATTGGTTGTGCTCTGAAATGGGACGTTGTTGTAGGCAGCTTGTCACCTCCTCCTACTTCGACTCTCCTTGGAATCCCCTTTGAACTAACTAAACACTCGGCAGTTTGTCAACACAAGGGACTGCTGTGATTCCTTCAGGATGTGATTTTGGCTTCAAATCTCCGGCAACTTCGACAAGGTTCAGAGCCAACGTAGTAGATAAAAATCTTCCCAGATTTTTCTACTAAAAAATGGTATAACCTCACAACGAAAATCCCTCAAAATAAAAAAGAACACTCCCCTTTACTAGAAGTGAAACTCAACTATTATACCTTGGGATTTGGGCTTTCCTTTCGGTGAAGATGAGTAGAACTCTTCAAGTTCTCACTCTCTACTTAGAACACGAAATATATTACATTTTCTCTCTTAGAAAATTATGAAAGCCCCCTTCCACACAAACCCATTTCTTCCAATCAAAACTCGACAGCAGCAAGGACACCAAATGGTCAAATATGCCAAGACACATCTCATGACACATACCTATGCATATGGGACGAAATTGATGTGTGAAACTCCACATAAATGCCTAGAATAAGAGATAGTCAAATACTATATCTTTGGGTAATGGTTGTTGGAAAACTTTTTCTTCCTTTATTTTTGACCTTCCTTTTGCATGCAATTTCGTGGAACAAACCCTTTTGTCTTTATATGAAGTAGGATAGTGAGATATATATTTTGTCTCACTTTGAAGCTTTTTCAATGACCAGAACATCAGACCTTGAACCATGAACTCGAGCAGGTTGCAGTCTTGCAGATAGCTGATTGGTTGTCTGATCTTTCTACAGATCCAAAACGGACTGAGTCTTCATTCCTTTATCTTCATCTCTTTTTGACTTTCCATTTTGATGTAAGCACGAGGGACAAGGTATTTTGTCTTTAATTATAACCAAGTATTGAGATAAACAATTTATCTAATGTTGGAGCTTTTTAAAGACCAATATATCAGGCCTTGAACCGAGCATCCTGAGCAGATTTGAAGACATGCAGGCATCAACTTGGTTGTCTGATATACCTGCGGATCCAAAAGGGGTAGATTGTCCCTTCCTCTTTCTTCATCTTTTTTTTTCCAAATCAATGCTTGCACATTTTTCCGTGTGCCTTTTGTCAATGAAACAAACGTGGTCCAATTGTCTTTTTATCTCTTAATTTTTTTTCCAACTCAGAAAATATGTGAAAAAATATTCCACATCAGCAGCCAATGTGGACAATTTAGAAGCCATACATTCACCAGTTGGTTGTCTGAACAGTCGGCGGATCTCCGATACATCAAACAAAATTTTATATCAACACACCTTAAGATTGAAAAAGAGTGTCAATAAGGAAGCATAATGATGTATACCATAGAAGTACTCAAAATTGGTATATAAGCGACAACATCTAATATAAAGAGAAGAGTTGAAAAGTTGGTTAAATAAATAAATATTTAACTAAACCGGTGGTTTACAACAATGTTTTTAAGATGAATAGAGAATTCATCTTTCAATAATCCTACAACAATGTTCTTAAGATAAATAGAGAATTCATCTTTCAATAATCCTACAACAATGTTCTTCGAATGAATTCTCTATTCATCTTTAATATTCCTACAATAATTAATAGCATAAGATCATTTATACTTTGTGATTGTAGAAATATGATCAATTAATCAATGATTCAACTTTCAAGCAACTGCCTCATAAATTGAAGTAGAAAGTACCTTTATTACTTCCTAATTTCAATGTTGATTCTCCGATAATATCGAGTCTTTGCTTGAATTCTCCGATATTAAAGTTGTTTATGTGTCCATTAATCTCAACCTTTCATTTCTATCAATCCACTCAGTCAATCCACGAACATTATCCGATTGAAAACTTATTTCATTGCATGAATCAGATCTCCTCGTTTACATTGCTGCAGACTTAAATTCCATGTAGCTTACGCCTCTTTGATCTTTTTTAATTATATATATCATGTAGCAGACGAATCAGACATTTTCGTATAATATATAGTATTATACAATCAAATAAAATCATGAAGAGATTTGGCAGATAAGAAAAGGGGTCAAAAGGAAAAGCAAAGAAGAAACGAGCTTCCAGCCCAACACCATCAAACAAATCAATAACCATAATCTCCATCTGTCCAACAATTAAATATATGAATTGTCCCTTTTGCATCTTATCCTGCCAAACAAAAAAGAATTGGATACCTTCCTTTTTCTAAAAGTTGGCATTCACATATGTTCATGCAACCTCTATTATTAGTAATTGGCATATTTGGAGTAAATATTCTCTTCTGTTTAGCCTATAATTGATGATCAAACTAAACTCTCTGTCAATGACTACCTTGTCGATTTTCTCATTTGATCAGTAAGTTTGAAAAAGCTAAAAGAATTTGGATAAAGATCTGTCGGGTTGTGTTATTCAATCAATAAATAGATAAGAATGAACACAGATAAAATTATTAGACTGTACATTGCTGTGCAGAAAATCAAAATTTGAGTATACATAATTGAATCAAGGTTTTGATCTTACTTTCTTGTAAAAATAGTTTAGTTGGTTGTGAGAAACACTGGTTTGAGACGGTACTAAGTTAATCAATTCAAACAGCTTTGTAATAATATTAAGCTAAACAAATCAAGCTTGTAAAACGAATATACAAAAGCTTACCTAATGTAGAGGATCAGTCCTTAGTATTGACCCAAAACAGCATAGATAATTCCAGGTATATAACCAAGGATAGTCAACAGCAGGGAAATCCAGAATTCAATCTGCAGTTCGAAATGCTCAAAACTATGCATCCACCACACACATATTGATGCATATAAATGTATATATCTACTGAAAATATGCTAATCAACAAAAATATTTCCTTGGGTTATAAGAAAGACTACCTTCCAAAGAGAATTTTTCTCTCATAAACAGAACTCTGCCGAAATCATATAAAAAATTAACTTATGAACAACTAAAAAACAAATCTAAAATTGAAAATCACAGGAAACATAAAAAAATCTTTAATTAATAGAAAAAGAACTCAAGTCTCAACCCTATTGCGTATCCGTCAACTGCCTGGACAATGATCTACAAGGAAATTCTCCTCGCTGCAAATATCTCTGAACTTCGCGAACAGCAACAATCCCTTCCAAATTTCTGACCACCAGCACAATGGATTTCCGACATCAATGCACTCTCAACCCTAAACGACGCTGCAGCTGAGCATCGGAGAATGAACAGAGCGCCATGGGATTCGAAACGATGATGCAGACAAGGATTTAGGCAGAAAAGGAAATGAAATTAGTGCATCTGGAAAATTAGTTATAAAACTAATAATAGCGGCGCGGAAAACATAGCACCTCCTCTATTATTTTGAAAAAATACTTCCTCTCAGTTCAATTCACACATTTCATTAATACCACGTGTTTAACCAATCATATTTAATGAGTTAATAATAATTAATTATAAAATTATTTTATTATTTTTTATATAATTAATAATATTGATAATTTTAAAATAAATTTAATATATATAATTATAAAAATTTGAATTTGTATTTAAATATTATAAAAATTATGTCGCAATAAAAAATATATGCAATATGAATATCATTTTGTAGAAAATAAAAAATTAGTTTATTTATTTATAATTAACATAAACTAATTTTATAAAAAATATAAAGTTTTAAAGTTAGATAAAAATATTTGTTTTTTTTAAGAAAGAGACAGAAAAATAAAATAAAGAGATTTTGAATGGTCTTACTTATGTATGATATTATATATTATGCACTTAATTAAATTGATTTATATTTTTTAAATATATTTTGATTTAGTAATTTTTATATTTGTATTTATATTATATTTGTATTTATATTTATATTTGTTAAAATAACTAATTAGTATACTTAAAAATTTTAAAATTTGAAATCTGGATTTTTTAAATATAATTAAAAGTGTGTAATATTTTTCAAAAAAAAAAAAAAGAAAAGTGACACAAGATGTCGGACAGACGAAAATGAACAGTGTGACATTATACGTGGGACCAAGGGAGTATTATTTTACTACAATTTTTTTACTATAAATTATTTTTGTAGCAAAAACTTATCATTTAACTAAAAAATATGATTTTGTAACTAACAATAAGTTAATAATATTTTCTAATGTCAAAGCTATTTGTGATTTAATTACTACCAAAAAAAACCCAAAACTCACGAATTTTTTCTGTGAGTAATCATGAAAAATCTGTGAGTAAATCGATTACTCACGGAATTATTCACGAAATTTTGCCTATAAGTACAGTCAGTAAACATCTCATTAGTAGTTCCTCGAGGGAAATGTCCGTGAATAATTCCGTGAGTAAATTACTCACGGAATTTTGCCCGTGGGTAATTTGCTCACGTAATTACTCACAGAACTTGTCCGTAAGTAACGTCATAAAATAAATTTTGTGAGTAATTCCGTGAGTAAAAGTCAACAAAACAAGTTGACTCCCTTATTTGCGAGAGGAAAAATTCATGAGTAATTTCGTGAGTAATTTACTCACACAGTTACTATGGCATTTTCCCTCGCAATATGTCAGCATGATGTTTGAGACATAATAATTTCCATAAATAATTTTTCTAACCCCCCAAAAATTTATATTTAAGTTTATCATACGTATCCAAAACACTATAAGAAAAACTCATTTTTGTAACAAAATTTTTTTGTCTCTAAATCTATTTTTTCCGTTACTAATGACATCAGAGACGAAAATAGGAATGGAATTACGTTAGCTACGTGAACTTTAGGGACGGAATTCCGTTACAAATATATTATCTTTTTGTAGTGAAACCATATATTACGATAGCACAAATCCAAGCCATAAAGTAAATCACACCAAACCAAATATCAAATAAGCAAAAACGATCGAATCACAACATATATATACATAGTTCTGTAATCAATGGATACCACAAAAACCAGTAAACACAATCGTATATTTGAAATAGTAGAATCCATATGATATTAAAATTTAAATACTCAAGTACGAAATTCAACAAACAGGTTGTGCACCAGAATAGCCATCGGGGTCGTGGCGGCGCTATTGGGCATTCATCCTCTCGAGCTGCTACATGATCGTCAGGGCACAACTCTCAAAATGATCAAACTGCTGCCAAGTGTACTAGCCGGCTCCCGTCAGCCATTAGAGCACCAGACCTACAACCATCACTAGTGAATGAGCTGTGATCCGGTAGCACTATCGATGCCAGTGACCCAAGCCTAAATATCCTCTTCTTCTTATTCCGATGCACCAAGGGTAGTAAGGCGCCATCACAGCTATACTATATATTGCCAAATTGAGACATCACTTCATCGATGATGTTCATGCCTAAAAATGGACATGAGAATAAATTTAGTTGACAATCAAAAAAAGAAAGTAAAATAAATTTGGACGACGGAGGAAGTATATTTGAAAAATTAAAGTGAGTGTTAATTTTTTTGTTTGCTAACAAAAAGCTATATTACTTTTACTTTATTTATTAGTTATGCCAATTTAATAACTAGTACTCCACTTAAGAATCATCACGTGTGAGACATAATTGGCTCACAAATAACATCTATTTGTAGTTAAGTTAGTTCACACTCAACGAAAAACCAAGCTTGATCCATCATGAAATGGATATGATATGTTAATTGAAAAAAGCAATTGCAGAGTGAAGTTCTTTACATATAATATTGTAGTCCTACACAAAATATAAAGGCCTTTGTATCCATTTTCATATCTAATTGGCAATAATATATTTCTCTTCAATTGAAAACTTGTGTTCTTCATTGTGTTTACTTTCAAAGTGTGGGTGAGTGATTCCTCGCACAATTGATTTCAAATCGGGTCTTTGGAATTATCCATTGATTTGTGGCTTTTAAATTCTTAAAGAGAAATCAAACCTATTGATTTGTTCCTTTTCCATAGCTAGGATTTTGTGTCCAAGATTAAATTCTTGAGGTTTTAATCAACTAGGTTGAGTATCAAATTTCTACTGTATCTCATCTATTTTCTTTTTTGAATGCCTTACATTGATTAAGGTTATTTTTCTTTAATCTAGGAAAAATATATGAATCCACACGGCTAACGTCAGAACTGAAAGCAGATCCCGCTGACTAATAATTTAATTTATTTTTTTATCATCGTCAATTAACATCATAATCATTATAATACAATAGAGAGATTAAGCAGCTTACACCATATAAATATAGTCTCCATGTCATATTACAGAGAAAGACGAAGTGCAAGCAACTTTTGGTTCCGACGAATTTTATGAATGTATGCACTTATAATCTCGATGAACATTTTTCCACCATATATAGCAACCAAGAAAGAAAGCAAACATGCATGGTGTAAGAGCAAAAATCCTACATCAACCATTGTTTCATCAATTGTAATTGTTGTCATAGGCTGGCCTTGGCCACCCAATGATCCTTCTTCTCATACACCACTACTTCGACACCGTGTTTCACCAGCAAAGCAGCCGCCAGGCCACTTATGCCGCCGCTTTCCACCGTCATCTTCATTCCGTATCTATCTTCCTAGGTGTTGCAGTACATAAACATATAAGTAGTAATAAATAAATAAATAGTACATGTATCCATATATCCCGCAACATTAATCATAGGTGAATGCTGCTAGCTGCAATAACAAATCAAAAATATCTCTATATCTGTTCTTACACATGAATATAATTAATGAAATATATTATATAGTTTAGTTATGAGATAGAAAACCAACCGACTGATGGATGATGGATGATTCAGCAGTAGTCAGTTAGTCAGCCTGCAAATGATCATAATAAAGTACAACCAACAAATTTACAAATGACCAACAAACTTTATATCCCCACAAGATATAACCCAAGATAAACATGATGCAAAAACATTCAAAGTAATCAGGAATGCTAACGGGTAGAAAAAAAGCTTCAATAATTCATTTTCATGAGAAACTTAAATAAAACATAAAAGACACTAATAAAATAAATAGAAAAGTAAAAATAAAATAAACTTGGATGCAATAAATAATTCTCACATATGTATCTTAACTATGTCGACATGACAAAGAAAAGATGTTGATAATGCAGAGGCAAGCCTTCCACCCAATTCCTCAATCGGCCATTAGTCTGGCTATGAAAATCTCCTAGTATTATTATATATATTATTATACTTTTTGTGACAAATAAATGTCTTATTTTCCCTTCTCTTACAAAAAGTGTTACAAGTTAATTTACCTAACATATTTCAAACATAAAATCCTAACAAATCATATTATGCCAAAACAGTTAATCACATCCATAAATACATAATAAAAATTATAATATCAATGTCATCCACACTAGTAATAAAAAAAATAAAATAAAAAATTCTATAACCTTAATGTAAATTACTCTCAAATTCTTAAAACGGTTTTCAATCACCCTTTGTCTTTTCTATCGTATTCATAACCTATAAACTCTTACATAACACAAAATATATTTTCATGTCTCCACCTCCGATGCTTTATTTCTCATTTTAGATTATCAGCCAAACAATTGAATTGTGTCAAACACCAACTGGGCCAAACGATTACCAATTGATTCCTCTCCACCTCCTCATTTCGCCAATCCAACATTCCCTTTTAGATAACAAGATAAATTCTTACACATCATCGAGTCGGCGCATCATAGCGCGCAAGAGTCTAGTGTATATGTATAGATAATCATTTTGTGAAGATGTTGTTGATAGTAAAACAATATGAAGTTTTATTTTAACATATATACAATATACATTATTTATGTAATATATCTAAGAATTTTATTTCCTAATATACCAATATGTTAAAAAATATATATTCCAAATTATATATAATAATTGCAGCACATATCTTATATATTTTTATCATACTTTTTAATTACTATTTATTTTTTTATACTTTTAACACCTTAATAGTAGATTTATATGATGTACTGTCGAAGCCAGTGACCCCAATCCGAAAATGCGATTTTTCTTATCTTGTTGTATTTGCTTGAGAAACAATTCTTCTTGATCGTACTCCGTCCCTCTTGAGCCAAAATCCTGTCGTTGGCTTCAAGGTCCTCCTAATATGAGCTCAATTAAGACATCAAATATTAGTTTGGAAAAATACTACTAGAATAAAATATCAAATGTTAGTCTATTGATTTCATAATAACTTACAACAACTTCTCTTGATTGCGAGTTTGTGTAATTCTTCCGATTGTGTTCCTTGGTGTGAGTCCATGTATATGTTCCAACCTTA